TACTGTCTTGTGCTGTCTGCACATGTTTGCACATGTGCACTTTATGTATAAATTTATGTAGTCCCTTGTAGTTGTGTTTGTCTTACGTAGCACCTTGTTCCTGGAGAAACGTTGTTTCGTTTCACTATGTACTAACTGGCTGTTTAGCAAGTTGAATGACAATAAACTCCACTTGACTTGACTTCAATCACATTATGTGACATATCCCTGAGAATCTTGTTTGCTGATATATTCTGATATATTATGCCAATTTAAATGTCATCATGATATAGATGTCAGTTTCTTCTATTTTTTTTTTATTTATTTTTTTTTTTAAGTTCCATTACAAACTAGACTTATAGGAATTTCAGCAATGAAATGGCAACCATTGATTGTGATAGCTGTTATTTTAAAAAGCCTCTCTATTATTGTGTGGTGACTTGATAGGATTTTAATACTTTCAATCCCCTTTTATCCTCTTAGAACAGTAATTAGTGATTAGTAGTAAATTTTAAGAAATAGCCCGGGCTTCACTCCATACCTGTAGATGGCGGAAATGCACTACACCGTGGCTTGCAAACGCCATAAAACTCACGAAGAAGAAGAAGAAGAAGACGACGACGACGACGAAGGAGGAGAAGAAGAAGAAAAAGAAAAAGAAGAGGGTTTGTGATTTTGTTTTTTATTACACATACTTAGCGACTATTTAGCGACTTTATCAATTTTTAATTTGTCTCGGGAACATGCATGTTCAGAAGTCCTCGTGAAAAAGCCGGTTATTAGATGTTAAAGGCTGGGGCAGTGTCTTGGCTGTTAATGCTAATGTGCTATGAACTGGCTGCTTGTAAATATTATGAAATGTCATCTGTGCACTATATCATTCAGTATCTGTACTTTAGTCCAATATACAGCAAACAACCTAGAAGTTAGCATTAACATCACTTTATAAAGGTCAGTTATTAATTACAACAAAAGCTCACTCACGAGCAGGTCCATAAACACTGTAGAGCCCTGGCATCCTGGTGTTTGTGTCATTTCTCTCCTGAGCCACACATTTATCCAAGATAAAGAGATCAAATGTTGCTCTTTAAACTACTTCCATTTCTTTCTAAATTGTAATTTCCATTTCATAATGTTATATATGATTTATTGCGGTTATTGTTACAGACATAATAAATATGTTTGTGTAACACTGCATGACAAATAACTGAGGTCGGAATTGCTGGTTGGTTAAAATAATTGTTTAAAGTTTTATCGTTATCATTTTGTGACTATTCTAGCTCCTGGATGGGGTAAGCATGGTGGTCAACCTGTGCCTGCCACACTTTAAAACCACCGCTCACTGCAATAAGGCAAGTTAAAGCTCCTCACACTAACATGTCTCACTTACACAAGTCTCCATGTGCTGAGCTGAAGCTGCTCTGTTTTAAACAACTTGCCCTTCAACTAGCTTGTAATCCACTCAACTAGTCATAGAATCCTTTTTAGTGGTTAATGTCAATTTATACCACAGCACTGTAGATTTCTTGAATCTGATTGTTCAGAAGATGTTGATTAATTTTCTATAAAAGCAGCTCTGACAGTAGTGCCAGCTGTAATTCAGATCATAGATTTATATTAATGTGCTCATTTTAATAAGCTATTATTCACAGGGACTTGTATCTACATACTCTACGACTAATAATAAACAGATTTTTCAAATTTGTTATTTAACAAAAACATATTCATTGATACCATGAAGCGTTCTGGTAGGAGAACTTTATGTAACATTTATGCAAGGAGGCTCAAGTGTCAGCGCTTTGTAACAGTCAGTAGGTTTTTCACAACAAGAGAGACTTTCCTGTTTCTTGGTGGCATGACAAGCTTTGTTTTTTTTTTCCATCTTCTTGACTTAAAGAGAGAGTGTAGAAGACGAGGCTAGAACAACATTAATGCAATTATAGCTGGTTCAGAAGCATGACGTCTTGTTCATTAACAAATTAAAAATTGTAATTATGAGCAAATTGCTTTGGTATAGGAGAAATCTAACACTTCTGGACATGCTGTTATAGGAAAATAAACTACTTCTGGGTTGTTACAGTGACTATGCTTTGTGCAAGGCTATATCATACCCCACTGTGGGTGATTTTCCTGAAACAGCATGCCTTGTGTTTTTTAAATCTTATGTAACATTTTGATGGCTGCTTGTACTTTACATCATCATGTATGTTTTGACATTGCTGTAATATTTATATAGTATAATAAATTAAAAAAGGGCAGTCTCTTTTTTATCAGTTATTGTCAGTTTCTTTAAGCAGTTGGTACCTGTTTGGACATGCTTCCCGACTGTTGAGATTCTAGTCCGGCATGTGCTCAAGGTCAACTTTTAGTTTTAATTTTTCATTTCATTGTTATGCTTTGGAGCAGGAAATAGGAAGGGTGTGTGTATGATGTTGTCTTTGCTGACCGTATCGTAATTCTTTTTAGCATACATCAGAAGTCTGCTTCCAGTGTCTCAGAAATCTAGCCTGCCGTTTGCTCTTTCTTCTCTCTCTACAGCTATGTGCAGATGGCTGCGATGTTTCCAATCTTCTGTCTGGAGACCCAGCAGCTTTGCGGCGAGGTTGCAGGCTGGAGTACTTCCTCCGTCCTCCACTACATGTGACCCTGCACTTCCAAGTGAGGGTCGAATTATACCGTGTGGATGTTGAACTTTTGCCCTGTGGTAATGCCCCTAGGAGACTTGAGATTCTTACCTGCTCTGAGGTAAAACCTGCTAACACCGCAGAAAATGATCATGAGAGAGGATCGTTTAAGCTTGTTGGACGTTGTGAGCTGAGGGAGGAAGTGCTCACATGTTTTAAGCATCCAAATTTTAAACTCCGAGCTCCCTTCCCTGAGTGCCCACCTGACGCTCCAGCCCATGCAAAGCAGCAGGAGCTCTGGAGCCGGGGATCTCTGTCACTTGGCTCAGTGGCCCAACTTCGTATCACTATCCCCTATGGTGGGGGTTCGTCAGCGCTGGGAATCAAGTCCTTGGCGGTGTGGGGTGTTCCTGCTCGCTGCTGTTCTCTTCCAGAACTAGAACAATTTCAGAAGGCCCATTTTGACAGCTTGCAACCAGAGCATTCTAGTTTTTCGATTCTTTCACCAGTTTCTACCTCAGCCAGGTCTCCTAGGCCAGACAACCCTTCCTCAGAAACAGCTATACCTGAGGAGTTTCTGGACCCTCTGACTCAGGAGCTTATGGTTCTGCCCATGATCTTGCCCAGCGGGATGGTTGTGGACAATAGCACCTTGGAGGAGTACCAAAAACAGGAGGCTGCTTGGGGACGGATGCCTAATGACCCCTTCACTGGTGTTCCTTTTACGAAAGACTCGAAACCACTTCCTAACCCTCTCCTTAAGAGTCGCATTGACAACCTGCTGCTACAGACTGGCCACAAAGGAATCAGGACCAAGAACAGTCTACTGAACAAACCTCAACCGTCCAGACTCATCTGTGCATCAGTGTCTCAAACTGACTTCCTTGGTGTTCAAAGCTCGCAAGCTGAGACGCAGACCCAGCAGGTTCACTCAGTGAGTACTTGGAGTACAGAGATGCTACAAAAACACACTGTCAATGAAGAAAAAAATCATAGTAGACTAACTAAGAGTCAATCCAGAAGTTTTGAAGATAGGCAAGGGCTTATAATGGGGTCTTCTGCTGGAACCTGCAGTATTAGAAGGGAGAACTTAATGCAGTCGAATAAAAGGAAATGTCAGTCAAGCTTTTCTTCAACTAGTGAACATTTGTTGACCAAAATGCCAAGAACAGATGCAAGCATCACCCTCCCCGCAGGTTAGAAATACACAATTATAATTCCTCAATTAAGCTATAATTGTTCTATAGTGTATAGTATTGTTCTCTATATCTTCTTTATCCCAAAGATTTGCTTTCTGATTTCTTTCAGAAACAAACTCTCATGAAGAGCGTCTGTCTCAGAGTTTAGAACAGGCATTAAGCTCTGCTCTGCATGGTTTACCTACTTATACCTCACCAAGCAACCTGGAGCCAGACACCACAGGAGGTAGGAGTCAAAGACAGAGATACAACATAGGACCACAGAGAAATTAATTATTTCAAGTGTTGGGAATTATGAAGTTCTTTGTGTGAGAGGCATTACATTTAGAAAGTTAATTTAATGGTTTCTTTTTCTGGCATTGTTTCCTCTCCAGGTCAGGGCAGATGTGGGTCATGCTCTTGTTCCTTGACTATTTACTCTCCAAGCCCTGTGGCTTACTCCCTTCCCTGTGGGCACCTGCTGTGCCGGCAGTGTCTGCAGCATGAACACACTTCGAGGTCACAGAGACTGCCAATTATATGCCCTACATGTCAAACACATGCCTCACCCAGTACAATCATAAGGGTGCACCATTAAACATCATTTACTGCTTATTATAAAACTCTGTGGTATTATGTTTGTCAGATAAGTTCTCAGAGACATAATATGCTGCTCCCAAGTTGTTACTGAATATGTGATTTTCTTTTTTCTTCTTATGGTCTAATAAATTTTTATGAAAAATTAAGGTTCTTGTTTTTTCTTTTTTTTTTTTATGATTGTTGATCATGAAGTCTCAGTATTTTATAAATGTGGAAGTAACCATTCGTTTACAGTACATGTGTGCTTTATGAAATTAATCAGAGTAACAGGAAAAAACAAGAGACCTGATGAAATGTGTTGGATTAAGAACCAAGGCTCAGGGCCCTGACAGTCAAAAGAATGCTGCAGGCAATTGTACCACAAACGTTTTCCTTTTTTACATAAACAGCAAAGACATGCTGAACAATATTCTAACCCCACTTCTGCACTAATCACTATAGAAACTGTTATTACTTTGAGCATAGTGAATAATATATTACACAGAGAATACAATCAGTCAATTAATTACATTTTTCCTTTATTAAAGCAATTTCTTGGTGGACTTGGATGTCTGCTTTGGGTTGTCATATAGTTGGAAGATGAATGACTGTCGTTTGCAAACACGGTGACTGGCATTGATTCTCTACCTGGGAATTGAACCCGGGCCACGATGGTGATAGCACCATGGCCTAACCACTAGTCCAGGGACCCTTGTTTTGTGACAGTGTCCATTGTTAAAAGTGCTATATATATATTGAATTGAAATTAATTGTGACAACTGGCCAATCAGAATATGCTAAAAACATTACATCAATTTCTGTAATCTTCCAGACCGTTTAAAGAAACCGTCAGCTTGGTGTATATAAACTCTTGACCCACTTGAATTCTGACATTGTGACATAAAGTTGAAAGCTCTTATGTGAACAAAGTGGATACCCTAATTGACTTGCTAAAAGAAATGTATGTAATGTAACACTAAAAAGTGTGGAGTTGTGAAAAACTGAGATTGAATATCTTTAACCTGGGTGTATGTAAACCTTTCCTCTCAACTGTATAGGCAACTTTAAAGTAGCATGATTCTAGAAATTGCTGAAGTACAAAAAGGGTAAAATCTGTAAATAGTCTTGATTCAGCATTGCTGATATCATGATCATATAATAACCTTTTCAGATTTTTTTTCTTTTATACACTCATTTTTATGGTTTATATACATGAGTTGTTATTAAGAGAAAAAGTCCTACATCCCCTGTGTATAAACTGATTGCTTTGTATTTATGTAAATATAATTGCCATTGGAGGTTAGACAGCATCAATCATAGTTAATATTTGTGTCATATAAGATTGTAAAACCTAGATACACTATATTGCCAAAAGTTTTGGGACGTCTGCCTTTACATGCACATGAACTTTAATGACATCCCATTCTTAATCCGTAGGGTTTAATATGGAGTTGGCCCACCCTTTGCAGCTATAACAGCTTCAACTCTTCTGGGAAGCTTTCCACAAGGTTGAGGAGTGTATTTATGGGAATTTTTGACCATTCTTCTAGAAGCGCATTGGTGAGGTCAGGCACTGATGTTGGTCGAGAAGGCCTGGCTCTCAGTCTCCGCTCTAATTCATCCCAAAGGTGTTCTATCAGGTTGAGGTCAGGACTCTGTGCAGGCCAGTCAAGTTCCTCCACACCAAACTCACTCATCCATGTCTTTATGGACCTTGCTTTGTGCACTGGTGCACAGTCATGTTGGAGCAGGAAGGGGCCGTCCCCAAACTGTTCCCACAAGGTTGTGCAAAATGTCTTGGTATGCTGAAGCTTTAAGAGCTCCTTTCACTGGAACTAAGGGGCCAAGCCCAACTCCTGAAAAACAACCCCACACCATAATTCCTCCTCCACCAAACTTTACACTTGGCACAATGCAGTCAGGCAAGTACCGTTCTCCTGGCAACCTCCAAACCCAGACTCGTCCATCGGATTGCCAGACAGAGAAGCGTGATTCGTCACTCCAGAGAACACGTCTCCACTGCTCTAGAGTCCAGTGGCGGCGTGCTTTACACCACTGCATCCGACGCTTTGCATTGCACTTGGTGATCTAAGGCTTGGATGCAGCTGCTCGGCCATGGAAACCCATTCCATGAAGCTCTCTATGCACTGTTCTTGAGCTAATCTGAAGGCCACACAAAGTTCGGAGGTCTGTAGCTATTGACTCTGCAGAAGGTTGGTGACTTCTTGGCAATATAGTGTATGTTGATAATTATATCATATTAAAATAAATAAAAAATCAGAAGATAACCCGTGTTCATATAAAATAAACTTCCAAATGTATTTTGCATCAGATATCCTTCTTTTTGCTTCTGTGTCACCTGCATGACAATGAATTATTTGAAAATATTATCCCAAATTGTTGCTTTATTCTGTTTTGGATGCAGATCATTTCTGTTGTTTTCTTCCTAACCATATGTTGTGCATATGAATAAAATTTGTCAGATTTGAAAGTTTGACCTTTAATCCCCCCTCCCCCCTCCCCCTCCTGTCTTTCACAGCCTTCTCCCTAATGTTAACTCCACTGCCATGTTAGTTTGGGTAAAACATCTGCCTTTATTCCCTTTATATGCTGTTTGTAATTTAGGACCTCTCGGTCATGGTGACAGAAGAGGTTTGTGTTTTATTCCTGCTTTTCTGCCTCTACTGTTTCTCTTCTAAAGGTGAGACAGACACAGAAACAAACGCTGAAGGTGTTCTTTGTTCATTTTCAGATTAACTCTGAATTACAGCTGGATCTTTCCTACAATGAAGTGCCTTTTGTGTCCCCCTTATTGCTCACTGTATTTCTAATGAACAATGCCGAACAATATCAATTCCAGCAAAAGCCTCATTAACCAATTATAAATATTATATTTAAAATTATTATAAATATGTAATATTTATGTGTTAAACATAATACTGAATGCCTTGTTTATAATACTGAATAGCGCTAAATATCTTTGGGGACACCTTTTCATTAAATTATTTTGGTAAAGGCCATTCATACACCCAAGCCTAAACAAGAAAGACTTTTGAATAGGCTTCCTGAACACATCCTTTTTATGATGAAGCAAAAAAAGACTTCTGTGTGATTTTCTGTTTGGACGACCAGTTGCACCAAATCCCAGAGTGTCAAAAATCTTTTTCTTTTGTTTTTGTGTTTCTTTATACATATATATATATATATATATATATATATATATATATATATATATATATATATAGTATATAGTATTAGTTTGCGCTCTCTCATGCAGTCATAATATTTATTTAGTAATAATATGAGCCAATAATATGCCCGACAAAACACAGGCTGCTGAGTGATAAAAAGCATTTACAGACGCCGTGGGTGGGAATACATTTAGTGCTCTGACGTGTGGTTACCCTCGGTGTAGAGAATAAAAGCGCAGTATAAAAGAGTCGGTCCTGATCAAACTTGGTGTGAAAATAGCGCAGAAAGTCATCAGGCGGAAATGCGCGGCTCTTCACTAGCGGTGCGCGTGCTGTGCCTGCTGTCGCTCTCCTGCGCGTGCTACATCCAGAACTGCCCGCGCGGGGGGAAGCGCGCCTCCGCCGATCCAGCTCTCAGACAGGCAAGTAGCACTGAGCACGCGCTGCACGCACGCACTAAGCCCGCGATGTTCACTCTGACGCCCAATTGCAAATCCTTTAGGAACAGCATCAAACCGCTTGTGCAGTCTCAGTAAGTCTGACTTACCTGTCGGACGTCTAGTGTTGCCTAGTAATTTGTCTGCTTGCTTGTGTGGTTTTACACTTTGCAGACAGGAGTGCAAAAAGCTGAGCAGGAAGGAGACGATATATGGCCTACGCTACATATAACATTATGACGCAACGCACTGAGTGTGTAAGACGTGAAACACGACGGGACGTGCTGTTATAGGGAACATCCTATCACAGACAGCATCATTAAGATATAATTCAGGCACCGTCAGCTAACTGTAATAAAATTGCCAGATATCCACAAATTAAGAACTATATAAAGTGATAATGATTTTAATGTTGTCAGTACAGATAAAAACAGCAAGCAGCAGTTTTTTGTACTTTGTGGTGGATGCGACTGTGTGTGCACACTCAAGGGGTGTTCACACATCCAGCGACTCGCAGGGACAGGTCAACCGCTGACCATTTACTTTCACTGAGAGCTGCTGACTTCCAGCGACGTGAGCGACAGCGACCGTTGGCGAATAGATGTGGCCGTTGACGACAAAGTTGAGAAAAGTTTAACTTTATGCAAATATGGAGCAACTTGGTGCAACAACTACCAATGGGAGTGAAGACAGGAAAGATGGAGGAAAATGAATTCTAGTGTTTAGCAGCTGGCGAATTCTTTATGATATGTCTCTGGCCGCATACAGAGACACAGGTTTTTAAAAAATGACACGTGGGAAAACGTATCCAACAGTGTAGGCTTTCCAATGCATTTAATAGTCTGTAATATTAGCTTTTAATGATTAACCGTGTCGGCCATGTGTGACATGACAAATAGCATACTATACCATGATTAGCTAAGTAACCTCACCTCATAGGCAATCAGATTTGGTTGATTAAGTCCTAAAAGAATGCATTTCAAATGGAGTCCTGTCCAGCCTGAATTACTGCTGGAACCAGACCTCATCCGACCACAGCTCCTGTACCAGCCGGTGGTACTCGCCATATTGTCTGCGTGTCCGAATTGTTTCGTGGACCCAAATGCTTGCGATTTCATCGCAGATAGATGGCCTCAATGGCAAAGAGAACACAAGGCTTCTCGTTCATCTCGTAGGATATGATGTATATATATACTAGTGAATTTTATATACAAATTCTCTCCCTCCAGAATGTTTAATTTTTAGCGTCAAGAAGACTGATTTGTTGTCAAAAGTGGAATGCTAGTTGCGCTACCCACTGATAATGGCAACCAGTAGTAGGAACCCCTACTGGCGACTGCATAGTACAGCAACTGGCGACTTGCAGCAATAAAATCTGTGTGAACATACAGTAGGTTTTTACACAAAATATCATCCGTAATGCGTCTGGAACACCGGAGAAAAGGTGGATCAGCATTTGGTAGCCTATTTGGCAGACATTCAGCAAATTTAAATTTCATACAACCAAATTGCACTCAGACATTTCAAACAACCAAACAGCACCAGGCAAACTTATACTAGCATGTTTGATGATATGGCTGCCCTAAAAAAGGATATATCATTTAGTCAATATTAAGCCAATTGCTAGGGTGTAGGGTGCTAGGGTGAAGAGACATTTGGGCTTAAAGCCCTCTCGTCAGTGGCAATCCATAGGCAAACAGTTATCCTTAATAATGCAGCCATTCTGAGTATTAAGTTACATTAAGCCAGTATCAGCTGGGAGCCCGGATTCTAAGCTCCCTGGTAGCCAAGGACGAAGAGTAGCTATGTGTCTGCTGCCTCAGCGTTGAACATTTAGAGAAGCAGTTTGTACATCCTCTACGCTGACTGCACTGCAATGCCACTGCTAAGACAGTATGTTCAGTTGAAGGATTTAAACCCTGATTCAGAGATGTGCCTATTCTTAAAAGTCTCAATTTTTAATCATAAAAATCATCCCAGAATGCCTCTTTCTAGGCATGTAGACAACCTGGCATGAGACATTGCTCGACTGAAAACACTGACCCTGGAAATGAAGTACTAAAAACCCTCCCGTTCCATAT